TGTTTGAAATTTTCCCTGAAATTTTGAACAGTGTGTGTGTGTGTGTAGTATATGGGGTGTATGCATGCTGTACGTGAGGTGGGTCTGTGTTTGGGATGCATACATGTGTGTGTATGTGAGGTGGGTGTGTATATAGGGTGTATACATGCGGATGTGTGTGTGTGTTGGTGTATGTGTGCAGATGTATAATGTGAGGTATGGATATGGATTGTGCAGGTGTCTCTGTGGTGTGTGTGGTGTATCTACAGGTGCAGTGTTGTGTTTTCAGGGTTATTGTGTGGTGTGTGTGTTCAGGTTTTTATGTGGTGTATGTCCAGGTGTGTATGTGGTGTATGTATATGTATATGTGGTGTTTGTGGAGGTGTGTGTGCGTGCTATTAGTACATGGCATGTAGGTGTATGATGTGGTTTATGTGAGAGTAGGGAAGACCCACGCCAGTTGCCACATCCCACCACACCCTCTGTATGTTGGCCAAGTGTATCCTCGGGCGTCTTAGAAAACGGGAGACCGTCTGCTGTCAACAACTTTCGAGTGGGAGAGGGTTTAATTTTTAAGGGATAAGTCAATTTATTCAAGTAAGAATGAAGGTGTTTTGAAGTTTCTTAGTTTACAAATAATCAATACAGTATGAACACAAGCGATAACGTTGGTAAATATGCTGAGTTGTATCACCATTTTTATTACTAGTGGTTGTCTGTGTATCCAGTCAATGTGGTTTGTGGTCCGGTATTGAAAGGACGTGGTTTCTGCAAGAATTGTTTTAGTTTACCTCTAACATGAATACCAAAGTAAGTATGATTTATGTTTAACACTTAAAATTTATATTGGCGGTAGATTTAGACAATATCTCGGAGAAGGTGCAAAAGGGAGGTTTTTAAAGGGAGTGGACTCGGGTTGGAATTGGTGTGAATTTGACATACGATTCTTGCACTTTTCAGGGATAAGTTCGGGTAACTCGTTGGAAGACTGTGTATATGCAAACATAAGTGTTGTTTGCATTGCAGACTTAGTTGTGTTTATTTGATGAAAATTTTACTGGTAGTAAACATTTTAGCTAATGGTTTTATAAAAAAAATACTTCTTTTTTCCATCAGGGTCTTAACCAATACCTTTGTTGTAATGCATGAAATGCAAGTGTGGTTAGTGAGAAAGGAAGCAGTTACTTTGCTCTGAATTTACTTGAAGTTATAAAGTGGCCTGTATAGCACTGCATCATGTTCTCCACACCCCAGTACTGTATATGAAGAGAAACCAGTTCTGAACTTTGTCTAATTTCATCAGGAATGGACCACAGCTTGTCAGTGCTCAGTGGTGCATTCTAGTCAAAATCAGATACAGTACTGTACTCTACAATAATGGTATTATATTCATCTGCTGTAGTGTGTTGAGCATACACTGTACAGAGGTGATGACTTATTTGTATCGACAAAGGATTTACTTTTATTATAGTAGGCCTATGTATTAAAGATTCAGTGGTGAAGACAATAATCAAATAAAGCAGGGTTTAACATTGCAGTCATTCCAAACATTTTGAGAAAAAATAATCAGGTTTTCTATTGCTCTATAACCTGGCAACACAATTCTTGTTTTGGCCTATTTGAATCTTGTTCCTAATTTAGTGGGTTGACAAGTTAGTACTGTACTGTAGTCCAAAACTTTGGTGGAACACCTGAAAAATTGCAGACTAAAGAAACTTTTTCTATAATCCCCAGTGTGTTTTTGTGGAGCATCTGAATATATCTCTTCATTTTCTATTCCAGAGCATATTAAATTTAGACACAGGATACAGGTACGGCAGCCATAAGCAAAACGTCGATATCTATTGGTACAGCAGCCGTGTTGTGGTGGGGAAACTATACAATGACAGTTACTAACATGGCCTTCCCTCTGATTAACTTAACTATCCAAACCTGACAACCTACCCTACAACCAAATCTACAACCTAACTACAACCTAACCTAGCTTAGCCTAACCTAACCTACAACCTAACCTAACCTACAACCTAACCTAACCTACAACCTAACCTAGCCTAACCTGCAACCTAACCTAACCGTTAACAACACACTCAGTCAGTACCGCTGCTGTACCTATATCCAGTATGATTTATGGTGTATGGCTGTCGTCCCTGTACCCTCTACGATAAATTTATTATGTAATAGAATGAAGGGTTAAGTTTACTTCATTGCTATATGTATAGTATTTATTTTTATTTTTTGAAGGGAAAATATTGAAATGACTGCAAATCTACTCATGTTGCTTTAACTTATACAGTACTGTACTACATTATAAGACAAATTTAGTTAGGGAAGAAACAAATTTTGGACTTGTGTATGAAGTAGACCCCAAGAACCAAACCTAGGTTATAACCCAATGATCATAAGTTATTTTGATTAGGTTTGGTTTATTCCTGTGGTTTGTTTCATAAGTGATTTTTAACCTTGCTTTTTCTTGTTCTGTCATTGGATATATTTTTGTACATGAAAACAAACTTATTGAAAATCCCATCAAGAGATAAAACCAGTCCTTTATGATGAATCTTTTCTCAACAACAGTTCCTCAATCATCTAGGGAGCTCTCCTTAGAGGAGGTGGCCACAATAGCAGAGCCTCCAGGCTGCCCTATTACTGCCTGGGTACCTCCTTTGCCTATTCTATTCCCTATATCCCTTCCCCTGGTCTCCCTAGTTCCACCTTTTTCTCCCACATTGTTGATGGTTTCCCCTGACCTAATCCACCTCCTACAGTGTGTCTACATCCTCTTCATTACTCTCTCCTACACCTTTAGATGTCCATTCCATTTCAGTTGGCATTTTAACCATTTCAACTCTCCACAGTTTAGATTCTGTCTTCACTACATGCCTCATACACTTCACTGTTTCTTATCTCTTCCATTCTAGTAACCCAAGATGCACCCATACAATTTGAATTCAATGGTAATTTTATTACCCCATTATTTAGAAAGCAGATTGACGAAGAAAATTATTTTTGAAAACTTATCCCAGTGGTACAATACCGGTAACCCAAAATATTTATCCGTCAATACCTAGAAAACAACATGGCTGGTAAGGGAAAATGAAATTGTTAAACTAAAAACTACAAGTAGGGTATCATCCCCCACACTGGTACAGTATCTGTACTGTAGTCCTATTTTTTATATTGTGCACAATAATGGCCGAATCCTTTATGTACTTATTTATAAGCAAATGGTGTAGGTGCATTCTTTGGCTGTGAAACACATTTCTATGTTTTATAAATGAGATTTTTTTTTCAGTGGATTGAGTTTAAATTGGAAGTTGGGTACTTTTATGTGCTTTGATTTTATCTTAACATAATTGTACAGTAGTCCTAATGGGATCATATGAGGTGAAGGTAAGTGAATTAAAGAAACCCGCTGTTGTAATAAACTGACTGTACTGTTGCATGTGACTGTATCACTTTTTAAGTGTACAGTACAATGTGTGTGTGTGTGTGTGTACAATCAAAGACAAAAGTCGTGTCGTGGTTTTGTCCTAAGACTAAATATAATTCGTGAAACATTATGAGAGCCCCCTACCACAAGGCAGAGTGCACCAAAAGTTTACCACTTCGGCATATGTTTTCACCAAATTTCACGACACGACTTTTATCTTTCATTGTACATATGCATGTATAGTACCTGTAATGGTAGTCTGACATATATCAGTAGATCCTGCATGAAAAGACCTTCTTTTCTGATTTTCAGATAACTACCAGGTATTTAAAACTAAATTTTATACAGTACTGTGCAGTACAGGGTACTGCACAACAAATTCAAAAAGTTTGATAAAAGTATCCTAACAATAAATGCTGTAAATATGTACAGTATACTGTATTGTCATTAATAATTTTATCTGCATTGAATTTGATTTTTGGTGACAGTTGGAAAAGGTTGTCTTTTATAATTCACATCCAGATATAAAATCATCCAAACTTGATTGTGATAAGTTTCTTGACTTTAAGCTTAGTCAGGGTGATAAGTTGTTCCCCAAGATAGCAAAGGATTGAATCAATCATAATCGGTACTAAATGCAAATTATTATTTTTTACTAACTTCATACACATGTTAAGTGTGCTGACTGTTGTTTGGTCACCAGCACTGGCTATAAACACTGACTTAAATATTTTCACTAGTGGCTGAAGTGTGTACTGTACAGTACTTAAAAAAGTTCCCTAATGTGGTTGTAACTGACATGATTTATGAAGTTTTTAAATAGTAAACCCAATGTTCAGTGTTTGTACCAACAGTTATTTGTACTGTACAGTAATATGACGTATTTCTCATGTGTTGGACTTGGTACATTTTCTGTACAGTATGTTAGTTTGGGAGACGGCAGTCAGATTGATACAGTGTTCACTTCCTGTCCTGAGGATCACTGGTTCATGTCCAAGGCACCCCTAGTTGGCCCAGATGTGAATGGGTACCTAACATTACAGAAGAGGGTCGTGAAGGAAATTGGGTGCAGTGCCAGCCACACTGAAAATAAGTTTAGTCCATTTGGTGTTATATCAGCATTTCCCTAATGGGCTGTCAGTTCTGCAGGGCCGTCTTTCATGTAAATTTTTACAGCACATGTATTCATGGTTTTTACAATTTTTTTCTTTTTTTACAGGATCTGTCAAACATTGAATACATGATCAGGTATAATGCCCTGTTACAGACATTATATACAGACTTGTATACTGTATCACAGCTTACTTTCTAATTATAATTTGGTGCTGTGCAAACTTTTTATATTTTGAGGTTATTTGGTAGAAAGTAAAGGGATGTAATAAGTCCAGACAAGGATTTTAATCAAATATAATGTATGCTGATCATAGTGAAATGCATATATGAAGTTAATCAATACTGTACTGTACTATCATAAAGGAAACTGGCATACTTTGGGAGACCATTAGAACCATCTAAAGATTTTACCTTTTAAAGGTTAACTGTGTTAAGGAACCTCTTGTGTTGAAGTAACTTGTTTGGTCTTGAATGGCAGGTGGTATCTATGAGTGAAGAGTTACGGAGAGCGCTCTATTCTTCGGGCTCGCTCACCAGCCTAGACCTGGAAGCCTTTCTACCTGAGATCGTTGGTACATCTGAAATTATCACTGATATTGTTCGAAAGGTAAGAAAATATGTACCTTAATGTCTATAGACTGTCAAAATTGGTAGCTGTACCCCTTACTATCACATAGCAGAAGTTATACTGTACAGTACTTTATAATACTGTATCACATTTTCTAAAGGGAATAGTACATGATACTTATCACTGCTTTTTAAGAAAATTTGTGCATTGTTGTGTTTAAATGATGTTTTCAGTGTGTCTTTTAGTTCGTATTTAAGGCTCTGCACAATAATACTTATTGATACTGTATGTTTGTTGTACTGTACCATCATTGAATTTTACTAGGGAAGTGCCCTTAGAGGTATTATTGATTATTTTTTTATTACAAGCTAAAGAAATGAGATATCAAGATCTATGCTAATATATTTTATGTTCTCCCCAATATATTTTTTTTATTGTATACAATTGTACATATTTACTGTGTACCTGCAGAACATGTACAAGAAGCTACCAGCTCGTGCCCAGGGTTACTCATGGAAGTTGGTGTTCAGTACTTCACAAAATGGCTTCAGCCTCAACTCCTTATATCGCAAGATGAGTGATGTCGAGACTCCAGTCATGCTTTTCATCCAAGATACACATCAAAATGTGAGGATTTCTGAAAGAGACTTGTTGTGGTGAATATGGAAACTTAAAAATATATTGTAAACAGTATTGTACAGTTTTGAGGGAAAAGTCAGGTACAGTATCTCCATAAATCTCAATCACTTGAAGCTTGCCAGTCTAATTTATATTTGAAGGGAAACTTAAGACTGACTTTTTTTGGTGTTTTCTGTAACATAGTAGATACTGTACCTGTACTATGCATGAAATTTTTAAAAACATAAGAATAAGTTTTCATTGTATAGATTAAGTGTTAAACATATTTTGAGAGAGAGTAGATAGAAAAATTCCCTTACAGATAACTGGTCATCAGGCACAAAGCTAAGGCATGACATCACATTGGCTTAACCCCCAGGCATTGAGATACGATGGGCATATGCATCCCCTTCCCCAAACACAGTTATGTTTAGGAAAATTAATAAAAAAGACAATATTATCTTGCAAACTATTCATGCATGATATCAGCAGTAAAAAAATTAATGTTCTTAACACAAATTGGCATCATAGGAGCTATGTAAAGTCAAGAATGCACATGAAGTGGAATATGTGTGACTGGTGTGAGGCAGTGGGGATAGGTTGGTAGTACGAGGTAAACAACAATGACTTGTAGGCAGCAAGAGGTACACGACATTAGTTTTATTATGTTATTGCTATTTACACTACATGCATTCACGAGTTGCGAATGGGTTACGTTCTTGGACCCTGTTCGTACATCGATCTGTTCATAAGTCAAAACTGTGTTCTTTCCATAGTTTAAGTTAGGTTAAAGCACAACCCTGCCCATACAAATAAAAAATAATACCCCATACATAACAAATAATGTAAATACCCTGTACTGTAAGTAAAGTGATGTTACGGCCATCGTCCCGCTGTGAATAATCCAAAAATTATGAAAAATTGCATTTTCTGAAAAAGTCCATCTGACCAGGCAACCTTTTGCTACATCACTGCCATTGTATGAATGAAGTGCGATAATATCTTCTACTCCCCCAAAAAATAAAAAAGACCCCTTCCCCTGTACTTTAGTCCATTTTGAGTGAGTCATGTTTTCTGTTGTCCTCATGATAGTATTATGAGTAAATGATGTAATTAGTTTTATCAATTATTTTATATTTGGTTGAAACTAAGAAAAGATTCATATGGCAACACACCTAACAGCCAGTCTGGTGTGCTAAGAGGGGTGGAATCTGTTTAGTGATGGTCCAGGCCTCACAGAAGGTGGGTCTATGCTGCGCGTCCTAGGTTCTCCCACTTCCGGGCGCTAATTATGCAATTTACTTTTATCCTCCCATGCTTTTGCTCTCACCAGTCCTTCCCTTATGAACTTTGAAGCAAGATGCTTCCATGCATGACACCACAAAAGAAGAGGAAGACAAGTAGACAAAATTCAGACTATGAACCTGGGTTATTTTAATGAGTTTTACAAGTGAGTTATTCTAATGAGTTCTAAACCTGGCAACAAAGAGAAAGTGGTGCTTTTTGACACCCTTGCTCTCTAGCAAGTAATATCATGAAAAATGAGGAAGGCACCAGGTGCCAAAAACTTATAAATCTTCAAAGGCTTGTTACTCAAAATAAACATTTTGCACATAAAACTGGAAACTACTCCAAAAGTTCTTGGATGATTTTCAATTTTCAAAAAGTATTAGATTCACCAATGATAGGAGAATATTCAATACTAAAAGTTATGTGCAGTTCTAAAAATTACTACTGTAGATGGAAACCCCCCTTCCCCCATTTTTTTTTTTTTTCATTTTTTTGAATGGGTATACAGTGATCCCTCGGTTAACGAGCGCCTCGGTAACGAAATTTCAATTAACGAATTACCTTCCGTAAGATTCTTAACTTCGGTTAACGAGCATTCCCTCGATTAACGAATTCCTTACAAGCGCCCCTCCACATGTTTACGCTTGCACACTAGCTGTCATATTAGTCCGCCAATACAGTAATCGGTTCTAGGGCTTAAATTCCTTACTATTTTAGTAAATATCAAGAAGTTTGTACTGTTCAATAATTTTAAAAGTCTTATATTAAAATTTTTAGTCATTTTAACAACTATTTAACAGTTTAAGTACAGGGAAACTAGTTTTTAGAGCGCCAAACAGCCTGTCAACACACCATACAGGCGTCAGTCTCTGTGTCTTTTCAGTGGAGGTAACATCTTGCTTCAGACTTTCTTCAACATAAACGCTTTTTTTCTGTGTTCCAGTCAAATTATTGGTCATTTTGAAATTTATTTTACATATTGACAACATATAATACAGTGCAGTGTTGATTTAAAGAAAATAATCTTTAATTACACCAAGTGAACTAAAATTTTATGGGTGAACTGGCACCATGGGGTGACTTCTCTTCCACCCCAATGCCTTCTCTTCTCCCTTCTCCTCCACCCCCATTCTAATTCCCATCATCATCATCCAGGAGCTTTTTACTTACACACCTCAAAGTAAGTGTACTTTACTACCTTTTTTGTTGACTTTAGGCAATTTTGGTGAGCTGGAACCAATTACCCAAAAACCCATTGAAACAATGGTTTCGGTTAACGAGCAGCCTTCTAGAATGAATTGTGCTCGTTAACTGAGGGACCACTGTAATTGTTTGGATTTGGTAAAGAAGTATCATTTCAAGCTCTTCATATCACCAAAAGCGCAAATAATTTCCATCAAACTTTTTTGCTATATATAAGAATAGCCCCATAAGAATATTGAATTCGTGGGAATTCATAGTTGATGTTACCATTCTTGAGGGACATTCCCCCTCCAGGATTTGGTTCGGTTCAAATCTCCTCATACGGCAGATTATTATTATATGGTACTATTTGAAATGGCATGCAAAGCTCCCAGCCTCACTTCTCAGTAGCGTCTCAGTTTTTGTGATGGAGGAATCTCAGCCTTCGACTTGACGCGCCTAGCCATGTGTTTCCCCCATCCCAAGCTGCAAGTGTAGTAGAGGTCTTGACCATCAGTAAATTAATTATAAATTACTGGAGGTAGTAATAATAATTGTAAATACTGTACTACAGTATATCTGTACATGCAGTTCCTAAGTTAAGAATGGCCAAATTACAAATGGGATCCCCATATTTTCATCACAAAACTGTTACTAAAATCCCATGGTTTACATTACTTTATTCTTAATTGTTTAACATGAATTTATTTACAGTACAGTGGTCCCTCAGTTAACGAACACAATTTGTTCCACAGAGTCGTTTGTTAACCGAATCCATCATTTCAATGGGATATTGGGTAATTGGTTCCAGCTCACAGAAAAGTACAGTGGGGTATGCTATAACGAATCTAATTGGTTCTAGAACCTTGTTCGTTATAGCATTCGTTCGTTATAGGATTCGTTAGTTCCAGGCCCCCAAATACAACCACTTAACACTGAAAAATATAATATAAAATTGTAAAAATTTTAAAAAAGTGCATTCATATGCATCTAAACCCCTGAAATAAAGAATATCATTAATACTTGTAATAAAAATCAATAAATTAGAGAAAAAAAAATTTAAATAATGTTCGTTGTAGGAGTTTCGTTCGTTATAGTATTCTCAATTTTATAGGTAAAACCGTTTGTTATAGGAATATTCGTAGTAGGATCCGTTCGTTATAGCATACCCCACTGTACATACAAAGTATAAACAAAATGCAGTACTGTACACTTACTTTGAGGTGTGTATGTAGAATGTTGCTGGTTGATGATGATGGGAATTAGAATTGGGGGTGGAGTAGGAGAAGGAAGTGGGGATGGAGGAGAAGAAGAGAAGGAAGTGTGGATGGAGGAGGAGAAGGGAAGGAAGTGGGGATGGAGGAGAAATTGCCTTTCTTTGGACCTATGCTTGGTGCAGTAATTTCACCAATAAAATTTAAAGTTCACTAGCTGTAATTAAAGATTAATTTATTTAAATCAACGCTGCACTGCGCTATATATTATCAATATGTTAACTAAATTTCAGAATGACCAATAATTTTACTGTAAAAACGTAAAAATACTCTGTATTCAAGAGAGCGACAAACACGATGTTTCCTCCACTGTAAACAAAGTTAACTGAAGATATTTGTTTTAGCTCATAAAATTCATACAAATTACCCGGTCAGAATATAATTTACATTGCTGGAATTCTTATAATTTGATGATCATTTTGAATATAAACATCATATATTTTGCATTAGACATACAAATTTTAGATAAAAAAAATTTCTGAGTAACTATGTTATCTTTTGTGCAAAATATATGACGTTTATATTCAAAATATTCCTGGTCTTACAAGGAATCCAGCAATGTCAATTATATTACGCTAACTTTAATCTGAGGTATTATTTAATACAAAATGTTAAAATCTAAATTTTTCACCCACTCTTCTCTTGAAGGGATGATTGGTGGGGGGTGGGGGGGAGGGTTGGGACTGACCGCGCGGTTGGAAGAGGGGGGGAGGCAAGGTGGGGTACTTTGATTGACAGATAGTGTTGTGAAGATTATTTTTTTTTTTATTAACTGAAGATATTTGTTTTAGCTCATAAAATTCATACAAATTACCCGGCCAGAATATAATTTACATTGCTGGAATTCTTATAATTTGGTGATCATTTTGAATATAAACATCATATATTTTGCATTAGACATACAAATTTTAGATAAAAAAATTTTCTGAGTAACTATGTTATCTTTTGTGCAAAATATATGACATTTATATTCAAAATATTCCTGGTCTTACAAGGAATCCAGCAATGTCAATTGTATTATCCTAACTTTAGTTTGAGGTATTATTTATTAAAATTTAGTGGTTTTCCCCAAAAATTTCTCAGAGAGGGAAGAGCCGGCAGTGTAGTGTGAGAGGGGGAGGGAGTTGAGTCCATTATTTGAATGGACATTAACTTGGCGACTGTATTTCTCTATTTCTCTTAAGTATTAATTGTGTGCATGTACCATCATAAAATTAAGATGTTATTTTTACTACAACATAGTTATGTCTTCAAAAAGTGGAGTTTGGGGGTCGGGCCGGTTTCTATTGGAATTAATCCCATAAGTTCTGTTGTTCACTTAACGCGGATTTCACTTAACACGGGACCCTCTGGGTTCTATTGACCGCGTTAAGTGGGGTACGACTGTATATATATATATATATATATATATATATATATATATATATATATATATATATATATATATATATATATATATATATATATATGCTGTTTTTTTTACACACACATACACAAAACCATCTTGGATGACATACATTGACATATTGGACACATCTGTGACAGCTGACCATCAAGAAACATGAGCAAGTAATTTTTTGGACTTAAAAATTTAAAAAGTTCACACCATATCAACAGTTTGGATGAACTTTCAATGCTGGGAAATAAATGAGACTCATCTTGGAAATGAGTGACTTTATGAAACTGTTGGTCAAATTGCTTGTAGGACTGACCTATTAATATCCTAAATTCACATCTTGATCTTCTAAAATAAAAATTTTATATTTGCCTGAATTCAGATTTTCTAATTTAATGTACTAACCATATTTGCTGGTCATTTCAGACATTCATATTACCTGTTCCCAGTGTAGTTAATGAGACTAGTCATGTTTCATTGTTAAAAAGTTAATTTTAGATTCACTAGTTTATAAAATGTTTGTACTTTTTTCTTTTTTCTTTTTTAATTATTATTCCGGGGAATAGCCCACCCGGGCACAGGTCATCAACTCACAATGGGATCTGGGGGGGGAGATTATATTAATCTACGCCAATAAGATGCCGGAAAACCAGCTTTTTAAAGTGAGACATTGTATGAGTATGGAAACACAGAAGCAGGCAGAACATTCCACAGTTTGGCTGTGTAAGGAAAGAAGGATGCACAGTACTATAACGGATTATTCTAGTGTAAAACTCCCATAATTTGTACCCCTCAAATTCGAAATCACTCATAATTTATAATGTTTTGCTGTTACGAAATATATGTACTACTGTACAGTATATTACAAATTTCTTAATACTGTACAGTATTTGGTGACATTTTGAAATATGAGAGACGTTTTGAAATATTGCTATACAGTATATATACAGGTATTATAATTTTCATAATATTTGGTAAAATTTTGGATTATGAGACATTATGAATATGTATGATGCACATGTCGCCATGGGATGCAACCACCCACTTCGGTGTTAACAAGTATATATGTGTCGGACCTGTCATGTAGGGGCAATTCACATTGATCATTCGTGGAGTACACATTTACGGTCTACCATGTAAGCTTTTTCTCACTTGTTTTCCCATCATTGCCCAATGTTTGAGACATCATGTCTGATAACCCTGGACTAAATGCCTAAATCTGGTACTGTACTGTTCTTAGAAACGTTTAAATTTTGATTGAGTCGGATTACATGAAAGTACCCCCCCCCCCCTCCCCCTCCTCCTCCTCGGGAGAAGGTATCCCTCATACAGGGTATTTTCTTAAAATCTCATAATTCATAAGGGCTAGAGCCCCTATTATTTCAAATTATGGGGGTTTTACTCTGAACAGTACACTGGCCACATTCAGATGATTCTATACAGCCTGCCACATGCTTCATACTTTATTCCCATTTGATAACAGCTTGACCACTGTAGATATACAGCTTGCCTATGGGTGCCATATCATTTGCTTATTTCTCCTTAATTTGTATGCATTGTGTCTATGCCATTACCTAGGGTGCTCCAACTTCTGTTAAGAAACAGAAATTCATGTGCTGATTAATAAGAAACTAATAGTGAAGTATGAGGTGGCTGGCAAAGATGATGGCTAAGCTTAGATGTCTACATTTCATGGTATGTTTTATATCTAAAACTTTTGGTACACCCCTACTAAAGTTATTCTATTGAACTGTAAATCATGTTTATCTTGAGTTAATGTTATGTACAGTACAGTATTGATTTTTTGCTGTGTTGCAGGCTGACAAGGATAGGTTGGTTATATTGCAACTTGACCAGAATGGGGCAGGCAGTACTTTAGCCGAGTGCAGTTTTTCAAAAGTCAATTCAATATTTTCAAGTGTTTGCCCATTTTGAGTGCACCATTAGAACAATTTTTTTAAGTTCTACAATACCCGGTATGTCTTTGAGAAGGTGAAAAATAAAGATAAACCCACAGGAAAAAATTCCTGTGAAAACCTTGCAATAGATGGTGTTTATTATCTCGGAGATGTTTGTAATGTTAAACTTAGAATAATGTATAGTATTGTATCATTATGTTATTATAAAACTAGGCAGGATCAAACAAAGAAAAGTAAACAAATCTATTTTCTTTCTCTCTCTTTCCAGGTTTTTGGTGCAGTAGTTTCTGGTTCCTTGCATGTGAGTGAACTTTACTATGGTACAGGAGAGTCCTTCCTCTTCTCATTTCATCCAGAGTTCCAAGTGTTCCCGTGGACGGGGGAGAACACTTTCTTTGTCAGAGGCAACAATGAATCCCTTATTGTTGGAGGGGGCGAGTAAGTCATCAAAACCTCTTATGATAAGCGTAATGTACATGTCTTATTTTTTAGCTTAAAACTGGTGCACATAGATACAAGTTTTACAGTTGATCACTCACTCAGCTAATGAATGAGACATGAACCATTGAAAAATGCATGATAATGGAATTTCTAAACTTTTGGTAATAAGGCAGGCATCCAGCTGTAAAATTTGCTTCAAATGTGCCTGATGGCAGCTAGGACACCATACCATTAGGTATTCAAAGCTAATGGTTGATTTTGTAGGGTACTGTACTGTACAGTATATAGATTATACAGCACATGAAGCAAAATTTAGTTTACTAATTCCAATACCTTTCAGAGTTATCACAAATTACCTTGCTCAAGACACAAATTGGGTCAGGCACTTACATTATACTGTACTGTACTTATGTACTTACAAAGGGTTATTTATATCACAACATCAAGTACAATGACCCCCCAAAAAAAATTTAATAAATAGTGTCACTTCTAGCTAGTAGTGGCCCAATGCGAGTCAGTCTTGAAATAACATTGCCCAATGGTTATCAGGTCAGTAAGGTGTGTGTGTGTAGATAGGTATGCAGGGGTCTTCACAAAGGTGAGTCTGCCAGTCCCCTCCACCCTTTAGGACTCATCATTTCATTTCTTTTTAAATTTGTTTTCTTGTACAGTAATAGACAGAAGTCTCTGAACTAGCATATGCACGTATCCCTCATTTAATGATGGGGACCTGTTCCTGAAAACCTAATGTTCAGCAAAATTATCACTAAATGTGGGATAATGAGAAATAATATCCTAAACAAGGGATAAACAGGAATAACATCTGTGGAGGTGGCATGTTGCCATTGCTACATGTAATGAAACTATAAATGTTGTGGCATAATCATTACAGTTCTCTAATGTGGCTTCAAAATAAGTAAAATATAATGTAAAACTAGAAAATAAGACAAATTAAGAGCATGGGTGTGTTTGTGTGGTAAGTGAATGTATGTGTGGACTTGTGGAGGCAGTGGACTACAACTTTGTCGCCAACTTGCCACCCAGTAGTACTGTGAGGCTGAGCTGTGAACTATGTTATTGTTATTTTTCAATTCATAATTTCCGGTAGATATACTGTACTGTATGTAATGTTGTTCTACCTTATGTGCAGGTAAGAGGTGACATGAATAGGAAAAAAGGCTGCTTGTGTTTTACTTGTGAAATGTACATTTGTGCAAGAAAGATAACGAAATTACTATATTTAAATTATGAATGGCAGACTCAGATCAAATGTGTATATATTGTGACCAGTTGTAATACTGTATATAACACTGCCATGTTACCTTTGGATGTTTTACCATAAAAGTTCTGTGTTCATGTCACTTGCACCAGCACTGTGTGCATTCTCCCACATTTAATTAAACTTTGTGAATGCTTTTACTGAAAATTATTTCCCCTTTTTGTATTATTATTACAGTATTATTGTTTCTTTGTGCCCTTTTCTTGTTTTCATCCTTATTTCTTTTTGCATCTACAGGGGAGCTAAAAAATTAAAATAAAAAATCATCCGTAAAACTTGTATGTGTATCTTGCTACAAGATGGTGGTGTCTACTTTCCTTATTTCATCACCAAATTAGCTTGAATAATATGATAATTGAGTATTTAAGTGTTACTCTAAAACTTCAAATGCAGGTGGAGATGGTGACTTATTTAAGAAAGATGTTACCTCTGGCCTCTTGGGTCCCATAACAAAGAGGGCAGTGAAGATGTTGATGGTTAGTTCATATGGATAAGATAATTGGTAAACTGTTTGTGCCCTATTGAGATTAGGCCCATATAAATTCAAAAGAAATCTCGAAATGCATCTCTTCTGTAAGAGTATCCACTCAATATAATGTATGTATTTTCAGTGGTAACTTTGGGCTGTGGTTGGATGGAGATCTATACCAAGGAAGGACTCAGCCTTGCAAGACATACAATAACCCACAGCTTACTGACTCGGAGGACTTCATCATCAAGTCTGTAGAGTGCTGGTGCTTTGAGTGAGATCCATATACAATCAAGCAGTGGTTTTAAAATGTGATTCCAGTGCCCCATGCCCTGAGTGGCAGATTGCAGCAAGAGAGCTAAAGCGTGGACCTGGTTCTGTGGGACCAGGAACCCACTATATGGTGTTAGGAGTTTGCACTGTAGCTCGCTATCTGGTAACCTGGAAAAAGTTGGTTGCATATGTTTATGGAGTGGTTATGCGAGGGTTTTAATAATGATATTTTGAAAGTTGTGTACAGTATATTTTTTTCCTTTTCCCAGTATAATGTTTTAACCATTTCAAAATAATGGAGTCCTTAAAGATACTTAATGATTACTTTTGCTTATGTTGGTATACATTATTTCATTCCATTTCAACAAGCTTTGTTGATACAAGTACTTGGAAATATAGTATATTTGGAAAATTATGTTCAGTCAGTCATCAGTGAAATATGTTACGAATTAATATTGCAGAATTTGTAGTACTTTAGGATTAGGTTTGGCTAACTTCGATGATGTATTTATAGTTGACAACATGATACCAGTTTTCTTGATGAATCTCTCTTAATTTTCCTTGTGAAAGGAAATTAGCTAATTTATGTGGTCAAACTGCTATATTTCCAAAAAAAATTTAGGAATAAGCTTCTAGAATCCTATTTCATGATGTGTTGTTGACATGTGAAAACTTTGATGAAGATTTGACCAGTTTGTGGAATGACCTAGTTAAAATATATATGATTTATTAGGTATCATAATATATTTAAAAGTTGGTCAGTTTACTGAATGATCGCAAAGTTAAAGCTTGTTTTCTTATGATACTGACTAATTACCAAACAGATCCGTTACTCAGCTTGTCTTTTGTGTTGCTTGTTGGGTTATATATTTATCATTCACTTCATGTATATTTTCATTACATGGGACCTGATGTAAGAAAGATGGAAATTTTCCACTCTTGAGAGCATACATGAAGATGTTCTCTAATCCGGAACTTCCACAAAAGTGTTTTTGTTGCCGATGCTTCGCTGTTATCAGGCATAGTCTGATGTGTGACGCTATCAGCTAATTTAAGCCTTAGATAGTGCTTTAAAATAAGGCAAGTGTTAGGGAGTTGAGCCTTATAGAGATCCCATGTTGAAGATTTGATATCACCAGTCTTTGAATTGTAGCTGTTACAAGGCAATGATTGCAAAAGTAAAAGTGTGACTTAATACTAAGTGTGACCTTGGACTAGTTTGCAGCCGGTATGCAGTAGTCAAACTGTGTTCACAATGGATTAATGATTAGTTTGTGACTCCGTGAAAATATTTCTCTTTAAGAAAAGACCATATTGGACCAGATACAGAGTTCTGTGTTACAGTTTTTCAAAAGTTGGAAATTAAAATATATAAATGATTAAAGGTAAGGAGACAGATTACTGGCAATTTTCACCAACTGAGAAATGGGCAGGGTTTGAATCAAGATTCTAAGTATTTTACCATTCTGAATACAGATGTAGCAAGTGTTACCATCTGGTAGTTATGTGTAATTTGTGACCTGTAATTTCTGTCACCCAAACACATGCACATGGTTGAGGTAGTGTGGATGGAGATTTGTTTACTGAAGTTAGTCTGGTACTGTATATGCGACCACTCTGGTAATATATATATATATATATATATATATATATATATATATATATATATATATATATATATATTTTTTTTTTTTTTTTTTTTTTTTAATACACCAGTACTTGGTTACTATGGACCAGAATGTGGAATACCTAGAATGTTTGATGTTTATGGCATCTGTGCTAATCTTAAATAAATAAGGTAGAGATCCACCGTGACAGTTTACATCTATTTATTCTGTAGCCTCTTTATATGTTGAGTGGAAGTAGGGGTTGATGTTTTGAGTCTTGGTACAATTTCTTTGAGCAAAGAAGAGAAAAAATGTACTCTTAGAAAAATAAATTTTGAAGTGACTGTGGCACCGAATGCATTTTATGGAATATGGCTTCTTTTAATTAGAGGCCTCACTCACTTAACTTTGCTTAATACTCTTGCATTTGTCTTTTAATTGTTATTGAAATAATTGTAGTGTTTGAAATATCATTGGCAATATGAATGTAAAAAAAATTTAATCTCTTAATGTACATTAAATGAATTGTTTTACAGTAACTTTTATATTGTATTTACAAACAGTATTCATTTTCATTTCTAATTTTCAGTCAAGGACTTTAGCAGCTATCTTCGAAAGTGAATGAGAAGAAAAGATATCCTCGCATTAAATATATTCACCAAGTCTTGGGAGTTGACCATACATTCTCTTAAAGGTTCTACACACGTCACAGGTATTTACTTTGACACCAGAGAACTTGTTAGCTGTATTTAAACTTGGTTAGTTTTGGAATGTAACTGAATTTTATTGATTCATCTATCCTCGATATTCACGACGCTTAGTGACCAGAAAAGTGCCATGATAAACTAATCTGCGATAAGTCAGTCAACGACTGTATCTTATGGGAAAAACAGGGTTTTCTCCCAAGACCTCAAGCTGCACCCCCCCCCACTCCCTCCCCATATAAAAACAAGTTTCTTCATAGGCATGGAAAAGACATCCTTCTGAATTCTCAGAACACGGTTGACAGACCATGGGGACACTTCAGTTTGTCATATTACAAATTATGTAATGTAATGTATCTTATTTTTCTGTAATTTAATATTTTATATTATTAATGTTGAAACCATACACCATAATAGGCTGACCATACGAGAATATAATAATGAATAAATTTAAACAAATGCGGCAACAAATAGTCCCATCCCCTCCTTTATAGAGTGGGGGGGGGGATAGTGTCAGGGAATTTGGCTTGTTCTTTTATTTTGAAGTCAAATTAAAATTTACATCATATTTTTTTTAATATCTAATGTTATATTATTTATAATTACACTTCATACACCATAAGAGGCTGGTTATACGAGAATACTGTATAATAATGAATAAATAAAAACAAACTTGGAAATGTGGCAATGGTCAGTCCAAACCCCCGACTCGTGCACATTTACACATGAAGTGTCGTCTCTCGTACCTATTAGCTCTTGTTAGGCTTATATGAATATATCAATTCTGATTAGACCACTGTACAGTATCCCCATCAAAGAAAATACAGTATATATTTTAATAATACATAAGGTATTATATTTTGTAAAAAATAAAATCTTTAATGAATTGTTCTATGTATAAAGGAAAAAAGTAAACGGAAACACACACGACATATATTGCATATTAAAATATCATTGCTGACCCGTGATAATCCAAATCACCCCTGTGATAACGAAATATTGGGCACTCCCAGTTATAGCTGTCCGAGTTACGATCATCCGCTTTTATGATGATCATCTTGTCTATTCTTAAAAAATAAAAAACAACTTGCAACCATTTACTTACGAACCAAGCGTGGATGCTCTACTTTGTTCAGTGCACCGTGCCAGCTCCCCCCACTGAGCCAGCTAACTCATGTGCTCGGAAAAGTAAATACCCTTTATGTATTTGCCCTTATGACAATTTTTTTTCACAATATATGTGTAGACTGGTATGTGCATGTAACCGAGTAAAAATAAATAAATAAAGTTTTGTATATATGCCGGAAAATACGAGTTGGATATAACAACCTTAGCACCTCACAGCTTGGCCCAGCAGACTGGTGATTACAGTGACAAATCTAACTTGGTTACAATGCCGCCAGCGAATTTAACAGACACAAATGTGTAAGGAAACTAATCTGTAAATCTTCATTTGTATCAGGTATTACATTACATAACATTTTAAAATAAGGAGTGAGAAAGCAAAAATGTGGGGGTGATAGATGGATTGTTGCCAAGTGCTCCTCAACAGCTGATCTTTAACTCGCTACCATGCAGTCACACACTCGTGCATCAGTATGTATTTTATTGGGAATTTAAAATTTTCTGAGTTTTGAACAGTTGACTTACGATCCGGGTCCAGGAACGTATCCCAGTCGTAAGTCGGAGAGGGCCAGTGTGTGTGTGTGTGTGTGTGTGTGTGTATATATATATATATATATAGATATATATATATATATATATATATATATATATATATATATATATATATATATATATATATATATATATATATATATATATATATATATATATATATATATATATATATATATATATATATATATATATATATATATATATATATATATATATATATATCTATATACTGTATATATATATATATATATATACTGTATATATATATATACACTGTGGTCCCTCGGTTAACGAACACAATTCGTTCCAGAAGGTCGTTCGTTAACCGAATCTATTGTTTCAATGGGATATTGGGTAATTGGTTCCAGCTCACAGAAAAGTTCATACAAAGTAAAAAAAAAATGCAGTAAAGTACACTTACTTTGAGGTGTGTATGTAGAAGGTCCCTGTTTGATGATGATGATGGGAATTAGAAGTGGGGGTGGAGGAGAAGGGTGAAGAGAAGGAAGGGAGGATGGAGGAGAAATCACCTTACAGGGGGGGACCCATGCTTGATGCAGTTATTTCACCAATAAAATTTTAAGTTCACTAGGTGTAATTCAAGATTATTTTATTTAAATCAACACTGCACTGCACTATATATTATCAATATGTTAACTGAAGTTCAGAATGACCTATAATTTCAATGAAAAATGCAAAAATATTCAAGACACCAACAAAATAGATGCTCTCTCTCCACTGTTTTCAAAGCCCAACAGACGCCTTGTGACCGACTCTCGCATCTGATGGGCGCACAACAAACTAGTTCCCTGTACAGTACTTCATATATTATCAATACGTTAATTAAATGTTAAAATATCTAATAATTTTAATATAAAACATGCAAAAATATTAAAGAGCACAACTTTGGTGTTTATTCCATTGGAAACGAATGTAAACATAGAACAGATTACTGAATTGGCAGACTAGCCCATCAGCTGATGCTCACAACAAAACGTGATTTTCGTTAATCGAATTTTTGTTTGTTAACCGAGGAGGATCGCAGCCAATTCAGTGATCTCTTCTATGTTTACATTCAAACTAATCACTATCTTATAAGAATTCCAGCAATGCAAATTAAATTCACCCCAGTCACTTCTATTAAATTTTATAAGCAAAAACCACTCTTAGGTTTTAAAAATAAATAATACCTCAGACTTAAGTTAGGATAATATAATTTGCATTGCTGAAATCCTTGCAAGACAGGGAA